AGCAGCAGATATTTAATATAATCAAAGTTTTTATTATTCTGAAATAATTATGAAAAAAAATTTGAAAGAAGGAAAATGGTTAATTTTGCTTGTTTGGGCCTTGATTCAGACAATCGTGTCTTGGAGACTTAAGTGACAAATAGTTTGTTTGGATACTATTTTTCTCTCTCTAGGAGGAATTATTTATTTTTATTTACAAATGTCCATATTGAGAGCATACAGTCATGCGTTCTAATGATGTATTCTTATTAACAAGACTAAACTCATAGTGTGAATATAATATTTTAGGGAGAGAGAAATGTATACATTGATAGAAGAGCGTATTAGATACAGCCCTAAGTTAGCAGATGGAAAAGCAATAATTTTATTTTATTTTATTTTTTATTTCAGAATGTTATGGGGATACAAACTTTTTGGTTACATATACTTTCTAGAAACATAAATAGGCCTGAAATGTGCAGGCTATTATTTTTATACTTTTAAAATGAAATATTTTCAGTTTCTTTTTCTTTTAACATACTTGCTTGCCAAAGAACTTTTAGGATTCCCAAATAGATTAAATAGCTTTATACCAGCTGCTATGGAGCAAAGGCTTGTCTTATAAGATGAATAAAAGTTATCAACTAAGAGTGAGGAAAGCCCCCCAAAAGTTCAAACAATGGAAATGTACAGTTAACATGATTTGGTCATGTCTCTAAAGATAACTTGTAAGAGTTTTACCAGCACATATTTGCTAGCAATTTATCCCCAAATGATGATGTCTGATGGGGTTGGGGAGGTACTGATGACTTATCCTGTATTTATGTATTACATTTTTCCAAAATCAAGATTATGTTTCTTGTACTGGACCACACAAACAAATTACATGATTAAAAGACCTTATCTGTGTAAGGAACAGCTAAAGCCTAATTTAGTAGTCCCCAAAATATGACAGTATACATCAAATTAACAGCTGACTCCCATTTCAAAGGATAGGAAACATTTTTATTGATTTTTTAGAATTTTAAATATATGACTACTGCTCTTATTGAATGATATGTTTCTGTGAGTGTAATCAGAGTTTGTTTCTTATTCAATCTATTTTTTATCTAACACAGCTTGCTTTAGGTGCTTTTCTATATGCAATGGTGTTAACTTCAAGGGTCAAAGGCTTGCTTTTCCTCATTAAAGAAAGTGCATATGATTTTTAGGTAGATAAATGATCCAGAACTTTTAGGGCACACTTAATGAATAGCTTACACCCACATGGAAGTTTCCAGAAATTCCATGCTTTCTTTGGAAAAATTGACCAATGTTTGGGTAAATGATATGCACAAACTTTAAAATAGCAGCCATGAAACTGAAATTCCTACCGGAACTGTGGAGATAACATAAATTCATTAAAAGAGCCAGGTATAAGGTCATAAGAAATTGTGGGAACTGTGGGGAACAGCAGAGTGCATGTTCTGTGTATGGAATAACCATTGTTTCCCTACTTTTTCTAGTTGTGCTGAGCCAGTAAATATGTGGAACCGTATTGCCAGATACTTCTTTTTAGAGAACTTTGAAATTCAGATTTTATGTAAAATTTCCAGACATTCAAAGCTCTGTAAAGACAAACACAATATATTTGACTGGCCTGGTTTGCTAGTTTACAGCCTTTGCTTTCAAAGCCATGTAGTGTAGAAAGAGCACTGGTCTAGTGATCAAGGGATCCACAAATCTTGTCTCTTCTACTATCTAAATGTGTACTTAATGTCTATCAACTTTATTATGTCCCCATGATGATAAAACAGATATTACAGTCTATGAAAGGGAGAGTTCAAAAAGTGGTTTCTTAATATACAGTAGAAAAAGCAGGGTGACAAATTTGTAGTAGCTATGATTTAGAAGTCAGGACTTCTGCCACCATTTTGCTCTGTGAACTTGGCCAAATAACTGAACATCTCTCTCAAGGACTAATGTCCTTGTGTGTTAAATGCTGTTGGTGATGGGTAGTTAACCAAACCAGTTCAGGTACCCCTAGTGTATGACATAGGAAAAACAAGAGCTGCACTAACTGGAAGCATGGATGTAGGGGAATCACTTCCCTTTGTCTTGCCTTCTACTATGCATATGTGAAATCCATTATAGTAGATAATGTCAAAGGTTGACTCTATCTTTAAAATGCTGTTTTAAGTACTTTCCTCTGTTTGCAGAATTAGTGAAAGGAGCACTCTCTTTAGCTTCCTTCACATCAGAGATTGGACTTAATATTTGATAGTGAATTTTCAATCTGTCCTAAAAAAGTATTAAAATACTTAAATTCAATACATTTGAGTTTTTAGCTGGACTCCTTAACTTTGTGGTATTTTATTGCCACTTGTAATGTGTTTTTTATGCTATTTCTCTGTTTTATTAAATGAGATTCTGTGGTCTAAGTTTATATTTCAAAACTGAGAATTCCATGTCTCTGCTGCCTTTACTAAATTGACTCCAGTGAAAGATGGACACACTGGGTAGCAATCACTGCCATGCCATTAACTTTGTTGAACTTTGCATTCACACACCACAAGTTGGAAGAAGCAAAATGTCAAAATTTATTTATCAGTGGTACAGGGTAAAAGTAATCTTGACTAATTTAAAATACAGCCTGCTTTCAATTATTACCTTCTCGAGTCTCAGCCAGAGCAAAATCACCTTCTAATTATAACTCATGCATAGGAAGAGTGTCTCTCTCTACAGTAAGGTTAATCAATGTCCTTATGAAGTGCCACCATGATAATGATTGGAGCTGGTGCATTGTGTAGAAAATCTTTACTACTTACTATCATATGTTGTAGGACCTGAGTTGGTAATGGTTCTATGGGTGATAGTGGTATATTGAGTATAGTATCTGACTATATGGAGTATAGTTCTTGACTGCATGTAATCCCTTTTTGTCAGGGGCTTTGTTAGAATGTGATCATATGTATATTTTAGCCAGAAAAGTCTTAGTAAACTTCAGGCCCTTTGTTCATAACTTTTATTTCATAGCCAAATTCAGAAATGGAAAGGAGAAGCAAAAAGGAAACTTTAGAAGACAAAGAGGAATTAGAGTGGATATAAAAGACTTTAGGCCAATACCAGGGAAACCCAGATGATTTCCTTCACATTATAAGCTATTCTATACTGAGCTTAAGATATTAGTAGCATCATCTTCTTGTTGAATAAAATTTTCCAAAACATTATTTGGCTGAGTATAAAGAAAACAAAAATGAATTAGTTGACATCACAAAAGGAACAAATTCAGAAGTATAGAAGTCACATTTTCCTTAGAAGTTAAAAAATAAAGTATACATATTTGACTTATAGGTCTTAAAGCCCTAGAGTTATAGCTAGTGTTAATCTGTACTGTAAAATAAATTCCTTACATTGGACAAGATAAATAAAAAGTTTTCAAATATCAAGGTAAACTAATTTTCTAAGAAAGTTTTATATCCATAATAAAATGACAGTTAATTCATGGGAATTTATATATTTATTGAATAATTCAAACAAGAATGTTTTACTCAATAATTTCACAGTCTAAATTTAAATCTACAAAGCCCATGCCATAGGAGACATAAATGATTTTTATTTTGGGGAGCTTAGTATAATTATATACATATAGTGATAGTCAAAAAAGTTCTGTTGAGTTTAAAAAGTTTTATAAATAAAAAAGGGGGAAGATATTTGATAAAAAGGAAAAGAAAAGTCCTCAAATCCAGTGATACATAGCCTATTGGATTAAGGAAGTATGCATTATTGTTGACTTGGTTCATATGATTATATTCTATTTAAGAAAAGTATCATCTTAAAGGAGGTTGGGTGAGTGAACTTTAAAGAAAAATCAAATAGTTCTGATAGTGAAGTGACAGAATATAAGAGTAGGTGAAAAAAGTCTCACCTTCACCCTAATGTCTTCTCCATAGCAACACCAAATACATGTTTGCATTTATTTATTTAGACATCTTTCTATAGACTTTGAGAAGAGAAGTAGTTTCTTTTCAAGAAAAGAAAACAAACAAAAGAAAAGAAACAAAACAAAAAGCCCATTTGAAGAAGAGATTATAAAGGGCTGATGAACCAACCACATATATTTATAGTGGTCATTATAGGTGGTTCCTGTTTCTGTATTACTAAGAAGCACACTAAGGCTCAAAAAAGCCAGATTATAGTCCTTGTAGTTTTTTTTAGCATGTCATTATAGGTTTTATTCTATATTAAAGGGTTAGGGAACACCGGGGAATTACTACTGCTGGAAAGAATTGTTGTTTTGTTAACTAAGCTAATTATGTGGGTTTTTAAATTCTCTTTTGTATGTGTTTAATTTCTTTTGTGTGTATGTGTGTATTACTGTGTGTGTGTGTGTGTGTGTGTGTGTGTGTGCATGTGTAACCCTTGTAGGGAAGATGTAAGATAATTCAGCATTGCTCTAGAAATAAGTTTATAGTGAGCTGTGTGATTAATGGCTCCATGTTTAGGAAATAAGCACAACATTGATATTGGCTTACTTTCATTATCCTGTTGGAAAAATACAAAATGAAAAAAAATTAGAAGGGACTTCCACCGCTCAAAATATTGGAATACCCAATGGGATGGGAAGGAAGGCTCTTGAGAGCAAAGGAAGACTTAATATTGCTGATTTTGGTGGGGGGGGGATTGTTATGACCCGAGGCCATTTTCTTTAAGAGAAATCTATAACCTCATTTCCTTGCCTTCATATATAGAAAAGCCCTAAACCACATGACATTTCACATTATTCTTTACTCAATGGGAATTAGACTAGATATGTAATAACATTATTCATATATTTAAAACACTAATAGCAATTCAGGCTTCCTACCTTTGTGCTCTTCCTTGCTGGTGTGTCATTGTGTGTAACCTATCTAAGATTTCTGCAGAATTTAAGAAGATTTTTTGTGAAATATAATAAAGCCTTGATTAATTGGAAGCTAACTAACCAGAACTCTCAATTAACCAGTTTTATTTATTTATTTTTTGCTACACTCTCCTTTTAGAAGGAAGAGGCAAATGACAAGAAAACAAGCTGTTAACAGGTATTTATGTATTTATTTTTTAAAAATCAACTTCCTGGGAATGTCCTGGAGCCTGTATAGATTCAGCCAAATTTCTATAATCTTGTTCCTTGTACTATACTTACTAAGGTAGGAAAGTAGAGCCATTTAAAATTTTCATCAGCCAATGTTGAATCTTGCTTGATCCTTAGTAATAATAAGAAAAATCAAATCCAAATAGCTAATTAGAACCTGTCCATACTTTTGGAGATTCCAATTAATTGAGGTCTCCACAGTTTCACTATTGCCAGTTAGTGATAATTTATATCTACTAACCAGAAGTGGATCCCAGGACCATACAATGTGGAGATGGTTTCCAGATACAGGGAGTAACTCCCTCCCTGGGAACTAAAGCAGGAGTTAAAGAAAAGCTGCAAAGCAGATGGGGGTTGACTGAGGGTCACTGACATAAAAAGCATGACACCTGTGGAAAATAATGGGACGGTAATTCAGATGCCCACCATATTCTTTGCTCTGGAATACTTAGGAAGGTACATTCACTTTTGCAGGGCAGCATAGGATATTAAGTGTGCTACAGCAGTAATGGAAAAGAACCTGGCCTTCTAATCTAATGAGTCATTCCAAGTATTAGGCACAAGTTTATGTTGTAGGCATGCTACTAGTTCTAAAATATTTGAAATTCTTTTTCCTCTAAGAATATATTTTTAAAAAATATTTGGAAGTCTAAGAAGATTTACACTTGAAACCAACTAAAGTATCTATTAAAATTGCAGTTAAATGGCAATCAGAGATAGGATATCATTTCAGGCCTAGACCGTTTAGATTGTAATGGGAAAAGAATGGGAAGTGACAAAGGAGGAAGAGGGTAACACATAATTCTAAAGTGCATTTTGATAGTGCTTGGCAATAGTCTCCCCTCTTCTCTTCCACATACCCTTCTCAGGTTACATCACGTTTTGGTGATTTTTTTTCCCCTTCCTTTAGGGCTGCCTGGGATGCAAATTTTATCCATATTTTTCTATAAGAAAAATGTCATTGAACTGTGGGGGTATGGCGACCACACCATGCAATTTATACTGGGTTTTCAGCATAGAACATGAAACAGTGGTGTTTCTAATATCTGAGACGTTTTCTATACTAAAAGTTAATTTTAAATATCATGCACACTAAATAATACCCAAGTGACCTGAAGCAGTGGATGTGCCTCCTTAAGTGCTAAACTTTCTATTAGATTGCGACATCAATGCTGGAGAGACTAGAACACACTAGATTTTATTAATGAATGATTTTTAACAGAAAACCTTTAAATGGGTTGAATTTTTAGCTTAGGTTTGAATATTGAAAGTGTTTCTAATTTTATATGAATTCTATTGAATTCAAGCATTGAGACTGGCTTTCATTTTATATTTATTTTCCTAAAAAAATGACATGTAAAATAATGTTAACTTCTCTTTTCATTAAATATAACAGTAGTTTATATTGATTTATTTCTGGATTATCAAAACACACATATGTACATATATATGTAATAGGATTTTACATTTACTTCAATCTGAAAAAAACATGAAGTGTTTTTGAAAGTATGTGTATTATTAAGTCACTCTCATAAACTATAGGGAAACCAGGAGAGTCGCAAACTCTAATGCCTACTGAGGCAAGGCTGGTAACATAAATGAAAAACCAGAAGCAATAGGGAGTAGTAGGGACTATTGGGAACTAGAGAGTATATATATTTTTTCCCAAGGTGGTGGTTATTACTCAGCTCTGCTGATCGCTACCATGTGGAAATGCTGGTTCAGTGTTGTTAATATCTAAACATTTTAAAATAAGCTGGCAATACAGATATTTATATGAAATTCTCCAATTATTAAATGTTGGTAACTAACTCAATAAAAAGTAACAAAGAAAAAAATAGCAACACTGTGCTGGCCGAACAAAATCTATCTGATATCTGAATCTAGCCCATGGGCTGTCAGTTTGCGACCTCTGCTCTCAACTGTAAACCCTCAAGGTACTGCAATTACAAAAAAAGTCAGTTTGTTATAAATGCACCTGAAGCTCTTGATGATGGAAAATTCATGTAAAGTAAATAACTAATAAGTGGAGTTATTATAAATAATTCTTCTGGTATTCAAAACAATGGTTATGCATTTCATAATTTTTTTACTACATAGAAATAAGCAATATAGTTTTCCCTTAAAGTTATTTGAAAATTAAAATAAAATTATGATTTTTTGCTTTAATGTTATTAATGAAATGCAGTGTGAAACAGATTATTAGTGCCATGTCCAAAAGAAAATATTTAAGTATAGTTCCCGTCACATAACATAATTAAGGTTTCTATTTAAAGCCCAATTTGTTTTGTTTTAATAGGGAGAAAGCCATGTGTATAGCATGTGTTGTTTTATTTTAAATTGGCTTGCCTTTAAACAAATTCCCAATTCTATCTAGAGAAATTCCTTTATTTTTACAAATGGTTAAAATAAGAAATCAAAGAAATATAAGTAGTTAACACAACAAAACTTCATTTGAACTTTTGATAGGCATTGGCAAAGATAAAACAAAAGTTGGATATCTGAGATTTTATTAAGAGGTAACTGTTTGACTGATCTGAGACTTTGCTTGTTTGTCTGTCCTGCCCTAGAGTTTAGCACATAATCCCACTGTGCTACAGTGCTTTTGACATCTGTATGCCCCTTTCATCACTGGCAATCCAAAAGCATATTTGTCTAAAAAGGAAACAATTAAATTCCAATCTCTCTAGAAAAAAGAAAGAAAAAGAAAACACCCCACTGCTAAACCTGCTTTAATGACCCCTATGATCCACACCATGAATCTTTAGTCAGGATGGTAAATTAACATTGTCATTTCTGATAAGAAATTCGAGAATTTTATAAAGAAAAGTATAAAAAGGAAGAGAAGATAATAAATACACAATATTTAATCCTAAATGAACTAGAGAAAAACTTATTTCTGGATGAATTGTTATAGTTGCAGATTTAGCACAAATATGAAAGATTGAGAGATTTTGGACAACTGGTCAACACATATGGCAATGTGCACAACAGCTGATGTTCACTTAAGTAAAATTAGGGTAGACAGTGCTGTCCTTTCCAGATCATCAGATAGTTTTGACCACAAGTAATCTGTTGTGTGATAGGGATAAAATATGTTTAAATATACAAATTAATCAAGCATATTAATTAAAAACTTAAACTGGGGATTTTTAGTTAATTGGTTACTTTTTGAAGGTAGAAAATATAAGAAGTGAGTGACCATTTGATGCATTTGACCAGTGTAGGAATACAAATAAAAAATTCAGGATAAAATTTCAATGAAAAATGAGTCCTTTTCTTTTCTTTTCTTTTCTTTTTTCCAATTTTTGTTCTTGACTTTATTGGGAATGCATCAATCATTTTTTTTAATTTCAGGATATTATGAGGGTACAAACATTTTGGTTACATTTTGTGTCTTTGCCTCACCCAAGCGAGGATTAAAGGCATACCCTTCCCCTCTACAATGCTCACCACATCCATTAGTTGTGAGTTTACCCCTCCTCAACCCCCTAATTCCTGGAGAATATTACTACCATGTGAGCACCATAGTGTTGATCAGTCAGTGCCAAGTTGATGGCGAGTACATATGGAGCCTATTCTTCTGATCTTGTGATACCTCACTTCGGATAATGGGCTAAAACTCTATCCAGGAAAATATAAGAGGTGCTAGGTCCCTGTTGTTTCTTATAACTGAGTAATATTCCATTGTATACATATACCAAATTTTAATAATCCAGTCATGAATCAACGGGCACTTGCGCTGTTTCCACATTCTTGCAGCAGTGAATGGTGCTGCCATAAACATTCGGGTGCAGATGTCTTTATTATAGAATGTCTTTTGCTCTTTGTGGTAGATGCCTAATAGTGCTATTGCTGGATCAAATGGTATTTCTATTTTTAGCTCTTTGAGGTATCTTCAAATTATTTTCCACAGTATTTGCACTAATTTGCTGTCCCATCAGCAGTGTAAGAGTGTTCCTGTCTCTCCAGATCCTCGCCAACATTTGTTGTTTTGGGATTTGTTGATAGAGGCCATTCTCACTGGGGTTAGGAGATATCTCATAGTGGTTTTGATTTTCATTTCTCTAATGATTAGAGATGGTCAGCATGAGTCCTTTTCTTTTGCCGGTGTTAGTGGCCTCCAGGTGGAGGTTTTTCCAAGTTCTTAGGAAAGAACTTGTTCATCATGAAAAGAATTTCAGGACACACCACATAAGGCAAACAAGTGACAGCTTTTTATTGAAAACAAAAGTATGCTCTCAGAGAGGACAGTGGGAAGTCTCAAAAGAGAGTAGCTGTACTGGGAAAAAGTGATTTTAGATCTTTTGTAGTTTTACTAATCGAGGGGAGGAATATTCAAGGCAAAGGGGTTGGCTTTTACTAAGAATTGGGTAGTAATTTCTAGAATTGGGTTATCTCCCATTTTATTTATTTATTTTTTTATTTCAGCATATTATGGGGGTACAAATGTTAAAGTTATGTGTATTGCCCATACTCCCTCTCACCCACCCAACACCCGATAAATGTTATTCCTATATATCCACTTAAGTGTTGATCCATTAATACCAATTTGCTGGTGAGTACATGTGGTGCTTGTTTTTCCATTCTTGGGATACTTCACTTAGTAGAATGGGTTCCAGCTCTAACCAGCAAAATACAAGATGTGCTATATCACCATTGTTTCTTAAAGCTAAATAGTACTCCATGGTATACATATACCACATTTTATTAATCCACTAATGTATTGATGGGCACCTGGGTTGTGTCCACACTTTTGAGATTGTGAACTGTGCTGCTATAAACATTCGAGTGCAGGTGTCCCATTTGTAGAGGGTCATTTGATCTTTTGGGTAGATGCCTAGTAGTGGAATTGCTGGATCAAATGATAGATCTACTTGTATCGCTTTAAGGTATCTCCATATTGTTTTCCACAGAGGCTGAACCAGTTTGCAGTCCCACCAACAG